TATAAACTTTTTGATTAAGGTCTAGGGCTAGTACATACTGTACAATAACCACAATGAAGAAAAGCAACCTGGTACCAATGTCAGTAACCCTATGCCTGGCAGAGAGTGCTATATTTTCTTAAGCAATGCATTGATACTTCTGCCCCAATCTCACCCAAAGGTAGACACAGAAGTCTCTGAAATGTGACACTCCCCTTCAAGTGAAACAACTGGTACCAGCACTAATTGAAATTTTGCATGCAAAGTGACAATGCCCAGGCCCTCGGCAGCATGGATTAGGGCTTGAATAGAGACAGATTCTTTGTGAAAGCCTACTGTGGCGGTTGGCGTGCAGGCGAGCTCCCTGCATCTGCTCATTGGGTGGACTGAGAAAACACTGGATTGTATACGGTCACTCATTTTACCTTTATCTAATCCTATTTCTGAGCCCGCCTCTGTTCCATCTTTTGTTACACTTCCACAAAACACAATGCTTCCATGTTACACTCACATGTCTGTGCCTTACAAAACAATTCCGGTTAAAAACAGTTTCCAATTTTGCATATGAAAGCATCTTTACCAAACTTTTCAAGAATTTCTTAGAATTACCAATCGTACAGTACGTATCAGGCTGCCGCGTTCTGTGCATGAAAGGGGTACAGTAAGGGTTAAGCAGAACACAAATGTAATATATGTAATTCTGTAAATTAAATCTTTTTTTATTTTTTTATGAAAAATTTAAAAACATTAAATTTGTCAGTGTTTGCCAACTTTCAAATAAGTGGGCTCTGGCGCTTAACAGAGCACTGAAGGAATGCAGCACATATTGAAATGCAATCAAATCTGCGGGAAATTTTTTAAAGACTCCATGCTGTGATCTCATTCTAACCCACTTCAGCATCTTCTGCTGTGGTTTCTGTCCCATTATGTTCCCTTCAAAGCAAAAGCAAGAAAAAATGTGGTATCAAAGTGATCTATCATCCTGTTAACCCCAACAAAAACTTGCATACAAGTCTGGAGGAGGTTGTTGTTGTTGCATCATAGCAACGCCAATCCTTCCGGAAAGCGTTTTCTGTATTTGCACAGTACAAACTGTAATACCAGAACAGGAGGGGGGTACAACACAGAAAAGCCAAACGATTCATCTCGTAAAATTCATCGCCTCAGAACAATGGAGGCTACTGCAGTTTTACAGCCGGGATGAATCTGAAAATTTCCACTCAACAAATTATATGAGTGCTGTTGTTGGTATGGCTGACGACAATTAATGGGTGGGCTAATGAAGAGATAAATCCACAGTGTGTTTTCATAGATATGTTTGACATGGCTAGGCTAATTTCCTTGGCAGCTCTACCTCCATTAATTTTCTAAAAGAGCCTGTCTCTTCCTGTTAACCGAACCAATAGGACATGGTATCTATGGCAGCTTACATTAACACTAATCAACAATTTAGAGTTGTTTCACATTCCACAGGGCAAATTAAATGCCTCTGAAAAACAGTTGAATGTCTCTAATAAATGAATGGATTCCATTTATATTTATCTAACATGGCAATTCTGACTGGACAGAGGGAATATAGTGGCATAGACTAAAATGAGATATGATGCTGAGGGAAAAGGTCACAAGCTAAAACTCAAACATTAGCATTGGGCTAATTGACAGTACGTCAGACTTAACGTGGTTTGGGTTGTTGACATACTATCTGCAAAATGGTCACTTGGGCACAGCCAAGATTTTCTTAAATTTGGCCCCTCTTTTAATCCCCTAATCCGTTCCAGTATGGTTCATGCTTGATTCATTGATTATTTGTAGAACAAGTGGCCCTTTCATGTGTTTGTTCTACAGAACTCGCAGGAATCTGGGAGTTATGATTTCACAAATACTTTTCTCAATTTATATGCTATATTTCTCATAGTACACAGAGTTCTACTGCGATCATGAAAAATAAAAATGCAGCAGAACGGTGTTATTTAGTGAAAAATGTTCGTGGGTAAGAAACAGAAGAAATCGAAGATGTCGCTCTCCATTAAACAAATATAACAATAGGAGAAATGTAGTGTCCTGGCACTAAACATGTCAAAACGATCCACTGAAGGGTCCTTTTCTGTTGCATGCTGGGATGTGTTTTTTTTCTGGATTAGATCCGCAGTGACCTCTTTTTCAACCCTTTATTTCTCATACGTAAGCCATCCCTGAAACTTCATTGGATGGTCGGCTTCAGTGATTCACTGGGTAAAATGGAGGGGGGGGGTTAAACAGCGTTGACGACGGGACTAGCTGGTTTCGGAATCACAAAGTGAAGCAGTACGAGCCCGAAATGTATGGCAACGTGTTTCATACTGTGTTACCGTGTTCCTTAAGTAACATTAAATATCAACGCAACTTTTATACATCAAGCAATAGGTGTATATTATACAATGAAATAACTGAGGAGCCGTACCGAGTGGCATTTGAGGCACTGTATGCTCTCAGCTTACAGATACGCTTCACAGTACATGCAGACAAACTGTAACCATGGCCATGTTTCCTCTTCAAAGAGAACGAGGCAACACGGGGAACTAGAATACTGTGTGGCGATTTGCTGTTGGTCAGCATGAATAAAAAGTACAGACTAAATAATCAATAGATATCATGAGTAATTAAAGAAAACAAATCCTATTAAAAATTAAGTACATATATATGTGACAAACGGCAGCAGTGCATATTTTTGCAGGACACATTTTCATGAACATCAAATGTAAATTCAGTCTATGTTAATATTAAATAATTGATTTACAAAACTGAGATGCAGAACTTGACATTATGGGATGATGGTAGTGTTAATACACACCTAATTTATTTTTTAATTATCATTGTAAATTGTATGAATTTAAAAAATATACATATAAAAAAAAAGGGATCCTCATTTGTGCAACTTAAAAAATACAATTCATGAATTGCATGAAATGTGTTCCTTGTATTGGTTTGGTTTTGGTTAACTGCCCAGACTGGACTTCATGAACATTTTCCATCAAATTATTGTTGTTGGGCAGCATCTAGTGATCAGTTCTTAAATAAAATTATGAAGCTTTGACCCAAATTTTAAAGCTATGACGCAATGTTAAGGCTTCCATTAATATTGTAATGTAGACTTTGGTTGTGTAACTACGTTGAAACCCTAAACAGAAGGAGTCGGTGGTAGTCTGCATAAATACACATGACATTTGTCAAAGTCTGTTCCAGACCCACATGAAAGTTGACAGGTCCTCTTTCCACAAGAATTTGGGACATTTGTATACACGTAGACTAAAAAATGATTCAACTTTAAAACTTGCAACTAAGTATTTATGCCTGTGTTTCTTTTTGTTGTTGTTGTCGTTTCATGCTGTGGCTGCACTCGGTTGAGTCTTTCCTGTAGTTTCTCATCTGTGCCTGTAATTATGAGGTTTAGTTAAACTGACCAGAGGAAGAGGACACGTTTTGCTTTCTGACATCCTCAAAATAACCTGAATGATGACCCAGTATGACTGGGCTGACACTTTCCATCCTTCGATGTGTCCAGAGCCTCCTGTCACAGGGAAACACTTGAATCCTGCTTCACAAAATCACATACTGCACACGGACACCCTGATGAAGGCATAAGCCGATGCGCGTTGGTGTATTTCAGAGCTTCAAGCCCATTGAAAGGCCTTTTATATTTTGAGTGCCTGGACCTTGATTCTTCATGCCGTTAGTTTCATTTTTTGTTGTGTACTAAAGAAAATAATAATTTTTAGAAGATAGAAGGGCAAATACCACAGTGAAAGTGTGTCAGACATCTTAGCAACTAGTATGGTAAGACCACAACATTTATCTTTGAGTGTCCTAGCAAATTATAGAGATTAATTCCACCATGTTTCATTGTGTTGAGCCACGCTGCCTGCTTAGAGAAGCTTCACGTCCTTGAACACAACACAACGAGCGTACACTTAAAAGTTAAACCACAGGACGTGAGAAGTGTTTATTGACATTTACGGTTCTGGAAACTTGTTTAATAAAAAAATAAAAATTAAAAAAACGTAGCATCCTTTCCGTGTTTAACCCTCCAGTGTTGGACATCCAGGACACACCTGCACACACCTGACTGGGATGTTGTCGCCTCCTGACCCGGTGTAGCTGCTGTAGCTAGCTAACGTGACACAGGAAAACCCCCCGCAAATTAATTAAGCGCCGATAACTGCACCCGTTCACCTGCGGGGTGGATGCGGGAGCACGTTTTTTTTTTTTTACCCCCCCCAAACATGCCCCACCATCACCGTGACCATCACCTGCCTGGTTTGAAGACGCGGGGACGCAACGGTGAAATAAACGAAATGAGCGAAACAGTTGATTCATTTTTAGCCGTTAGCGTTTTTAATTGACCACCATTCACGCGCTTTGTCTCTAACTCTGACCGCCGGGGTGACAGCGTTAGCTTACCTTCCACTGCTATGACGGCCGGTATGCTCCATAATATCCACAGAATATCCATTATCGGTCACTTTGAGGGCCCAGACAGTCACATAAAATAGGTCCAGAGAGCCATTGACAGCGGAGGCAGCGAGCGGACCGGCTCCTTCACCTCCAGCGCAGCGACGCCTGAGAGCGCAGAGAACTCAAATCTCAACCAAGTTTGGGCGAAACCAAAAAAACCACAGACGGAGGGGAGCGCGGCGCAGCGGGGACACGCAGCCCCGCGCTGTGGCGATGGATGAACCCCGCCGGTGTGCGGAGGGAGGACAACAACGCGCGTGTTTGTTGTCGAGGTTTACCGCAGAAGGTGTAAAATACGCGATTTGTCAACGCGCCCGCGCGCAGACAGGCAGCCGTCACCCCCTTCCCCGCCACGTCCACTCTCCCCGCTGTCAATCAGAGGCGTCCGCACTGTCCTCACCCAGCGAGGAAGAAGTGTGTGTGAGGACCATGTGGGACATTTTAGAAGATGGAGACACTTGTCTCCGCTGACTCGACGCTTCCCACACGGACGTGTCGGTGACTCTGCGGTGACGCGAGGCTCGGGACGCGAGTGTCCCGGCTCCACCGTGGAGCTGTCACCGGTCAGAGAGGGACTCCAGCGGCTGTAACAGGTGACGAGCACCGGGGAACAGTCAAAGTGAGTTTTCACTCTGGTCTCCATGAAGTTTAATGAGAAACCACTTCTCACTTTCCACTCTTCCTCCAGCCCTCCTGTTCTTTGTTTTCTATCCTTCTGTCTAAATCTATAGAATCAACATGACCGGACCACAGCGATGGTAAAAAGCATATATTAAGTAAGATGGTAAAAATGACAGATCTGATAAAACACTGCTGTTGTTATGTTGATTATATTAAAGCTTCTAAATGGACTGATTCACATTAACTATTTATTTATATTCATGTGGTCAACACATGTTCCCAACACAATAGATATATCTGTGTGTGTTTTACTATTATTACTCAAGTTACTAGGAATTAGCTGTGTGTGTGTGTGTGTTTTGTTACAATATCACTATGATATATGTTATTCTGAATAAAACCTTGTTCTTTCCTGTCAGCTGTGTGTATTTACACAGATGAAAAACATAAATGTCAAATAATAATAATAGATTTTAAAAACTAAAAATATATTTCATTTAATTTATAGCTTTTATCCATAAATTATTATTTTCCCCCTTTTTCTCCTCTAGTTAATGATCAACCTGTGTCCTGATCCCATAAAAGACGAGCATGAAACTGCAGATTATTATGACAAACTATGAATCCATTTTCACAGTCAGATCTAAAATGTCTTCAATTCTGAGAAGCAATTGCAATTCATTTTGATTAGATATTATAGTTCGAATGTTTGATGAGTTTGCATTCATTTAGTTTTTACAAGAGCATTGTGATCTTGACTTAATCACTAATAGTTTATATAAGAGGGTGATGTCATTTCATAACATAGCAAAAGAACTGAAACAGTAAGTATTGGCAGTACTGGTTCTTTTTTGTGCAGTAAACATTTCTGTCATATCATACAAGACATCTGCATGATGTGTGTCACTTTAATTTGATCAGTAAAGCAGGATGTAGTTCAGAAATCTATTCAGTTAACTGGATTCCTTCAGTTTGCTGTATGAGGCCGACATGCATCCCACATGAGTTGTCATGTGGTTGAACAGTTTTCAATTAAATGGACCTGAACAGTACTTATTTTCCAATAACTGAGCCAAACAACCAAACCCAAAGTGAAATGTAACTTCCCCCAGAATGCAGAAATGTTCCCTCCTGTACATGAATCATCACGAAACCAAAAGCGGTTGATTTGAGTCTGACTCATGGTTCATCTGAACTTCAAAACACGTCACAATTAACTTTTGAAAATTGACTTGTGTTTGCACTAAGCTGATTTAAGATGGCACGGCGGCGTCTGGCAGTAACATTATTGGCAATAATTTCCCAAGAAACAATAAAAAGACATCACGTAAAATAAGTATGCATTTTAATAATCATATCACATTTAACTGTTATGAGTTTTCTGCTGCCTTAATGGGATTACTCTCCTCCAGGTCCAAGTTGACAGTGTTAATTAGCATAAAATGACAAATGAATCATTGTGCATCTTGCAAGATGAGAACATCTTTTAAAAATTGGTTTAGAGTAGTATTTCCCACACAAGAGGCTGGGAGTAAGATTCCAGTATCTTTGGGTAAAGAATAAAACACAGACTGTTTTTTATATTACATGACGACAGAGACAGATGCCACAGGAAGACACTGAATCAGCCACAGAAATTATAGATATGCCAAAACTTTACTCCTTTGTTTCAAGTACAAAGGGATGACATGCATGGAAAAATACCCGGGGAGGATAAAACATTTCCAATATACATAAACATGTCATATTGCTTTTGGTACAAAGAAAGTGATGGATGTCAAAGTGCAGACAAAGAATCTGCTGGCTTGCAGGTGTGCTCATGGGGACTTAGTACTGAAAGCAGTAAGCATGGGGAGTTACGCTTCATGGTATCCAGTCACTGGAAAGAGAAAGAATTTAGAATGAATTATTTGTCACCAAACATGTCGTTCTTATTAGACGCTGCACGGCTGTAGCTCTGCAGCAGGACTCCTATGGGTTAAATGAGCCAGGCTGATTTATTTGCCTCCACTGAGTTTGACTGTATTTATTCTAGGTCACTTGACTGGCTGAGTTCAGATCATGTGCAGGTGACTACAACACAGATGGAACAAAACAGCGAGGCACTGAGAAAGCCGCTCACTCTAATGAGTTCCATATACAAGCCCAATATTGACTCGAGCCAGAAGAGAAGTGAAAGATGTCGAAGAAATGATATTAATACTCCTCCTCTAATATTGCCCACAGAGATCGTTCAGTCACGCAATCTCATAATGGCCGCACAGTAATAAAATATACGTAATGCGAAGCAGAGATGTCTGAATGTGGTATAAATCTTCTAATGTTCTCCTGTGACTGCATGATCCATAAAAAGTACAGTACTGTACGTTCTGTAAGAGCAGAATCAAAACACCAGAGCTTTTCAGGCTGCAGTTATCTATTGTAAACACAAAGTAGCTCAGATTAGACCCAACAAATTACCTGTTAAGTTACTTCCCAATATTGCACACAAGGTGCAGCAAGGAGAAATTAGTTTTACTCCAGACATGGTTGAAGAACTTCAGCATACAGCTTATAGGATAATCACCCGTTATACTGTCCAGCTGCATGCTGTGCAGCAGAGCTACGTGACAGCAGTAACACAGAGCTACGTGTGTGTTTGAAATCATTCAGCATGTT